CTCATAGCTTGCTGGTGCAAATGTAAAATGTTATGGCCACTCTGGAAAACAGTTTGGCAGTTTCTTTTAAAAATCAACGTGCAACTACCATATGACCTAGCAAAGGCACTCCTGGGCATTCACCCCAGAGAAATGAGAGTTTATGTCCACACAACCTATACATGATTGTTCATAGCAGCTTTATTTGTAATAGCCCCAAACAGGAAACAACCCAAAGGTCCTTCAATAGGTGAATGGCCGGAGAAATCACGATACATCCATGCCATGGAATAGTACTCAGCAATAAAAAGGAACAAAGGGCTTCCCTGGTGGCGCAGTGGTTGAGAGTCCGCCTGCCGATGCAGGGGACACGGGTTCGTGCCCTGGTCCGGGAGGATCCCACATGCCGCGGAGCGGCTGGGCCCGTGAGCCATGGCCGCTGCACCTGCGCGTCCAGAGCCTGTGCTCTGCAACGGGAGAGGCCACAACAGTGAGAGGCCCACGTACCCCCCCAAAAAAGGAACAAACTATTGATACATGGAACAGCTTGGGTCGATCTCAAGGGCATTATGCTTAATGAAAAAAGCCAGTCTCAAAAGGTCACACACATATTTCATGACTCCATTTATATAATGTTCTCAAAATGATAAAATTACTGTGCTAGAGAACATGTCAAGGATAGGAGTCAGAAGGAGACCTTTGTGGAGATGGGATAGTTCTGTCTTGAAGCAGTGGGGTGGTGTCTCCCTGAATCTGTACACATGATCGAATGGCCTGGAACTATACTCACACATCATGGCAATGTCAATTTCCTGCTTTTGGTATTACACTGTAATTATGTAAGATGAAATCCTTGGGAGGAACTGGGTAAACACAGGACCTCTCAGCACTGTTTTTCCTATGCATCTATAATTATTTCAAAATAAATCCCTCTGCCACTTGTTCTGTGGCAGCACAGGTCACGAATTCATCACCAGGAGACACGAGGAAAGCTAGGAAGGGCTTTGAGCATAGTTATAGGAGGAAAGGGTCTAAGTGACCTTTGACCACCACCCCACCCATTCCCATGGTTCTCCCTCCCCACCCCCCAAACCATCCCCCAAAACTGCCTCCCCAACACACACACACAAGCAGGGCAAGGTGGGCCTCTCAGGGGACAGACACCCTGGAGATCATAATATATGCTGTCCCCAATGTCAGAGAAATACATCCTGGGGAGGGAGGAGCATATCTTAATCCACCAGGTTGATGAAGGAATTCTTTTGGCCCAGAGGGTTCTCTTCAGAGTGTCTCCCCAAGCATGGATTGCAGGTTGCTGGGATATAGCACTTTCCTCTGGAAACTGAGAAGTTAAGTCCAAACTGCTGCCCCATGATTGGGAGTCAGAGGCCTCAGGACGTTACAGACACAGGCCAGGACAAAGCACCTCTCCCTCATTCGGGGGCCTCCCTCCCAGGTCACAGGTCACAGGTCACCAGGGCCACCCAGGCCAAGCTGTGAGACTCGTCTATCCCTTTCTTCCCACTGTTCTTCCCCAGCCTTCCATCCACCGACTGGATATCCATTATTTCCCTACACTGGGGCCCTGGGTGTGTTTAAGTTCCCAAACTTTGGGCAGCAATTACCAATCGACCACTCCTTCTATAAGACAACCTCAGTTTGGCCCCAAAAGTTTCATTTTCAGAAGAAACAGATCTCTTTGAGGCTGCCAGGTTAAGTTAGCCAAAAGGCTCCCCGCTAACTCCCCCACCCCTGCCCCATAATTGCTGAATGAACCTGTTTTTAATTTAGAGCTTTGGAGTACTGGATGCCAAACTGCTCCCTCTAACCATGACTGGCGAGCAGGTCCTCTAGTTCTTAAGAATGCTGTAACCCAGAGGCAATTGAGACTGTCTCTAGATTAACACGATTGTATTGACTCCTGCAGAAGGAAGTACCAAAAACTCAGCCTGAGCCTGAGAGTCACCAGGCTCGAGATGAGGTCGGGAGGAGTGAAAGGGTCTGAGCCTGTTACTGCTTACGCGGATCTGTGCTGCAGCCATGGCAGTGGTCCCTGGTCACGGCTGAGATGTGTGTGTCACCAGGGCCTGGAGAAAGCCCTGACCACTCGGAACAAGCACATCTGAGGAATCTCCACGCGCTAACGCTGAGCTGACCAGTGCCGTGCGACAGAGAGGGCCAGGCGCACAGGGGTTAGGGGTTCTGACCTGGAGGCTCACGTTCCTGGTTCCTCTACACTCCACTCTTTCTGGTTATGTATCCAAGCCCAAAGGACCAGCCTCACTAAGCCTTGTTTTCCTCATCATTAATGGGGACAGTAACAGCATCCAGTTGACAGAGCTGTAATGAGGACTGCATATGGGTAAGATATTTCCATAGTTCCCAGTAAATTCAGACAGATCTGTTGCTGTTCGCTACTATTGCTATTTTTGGATATTATTATTAACTGTAGTTTTTCTTAACTATTAACTATGTCTCATAGAATGAGGCGTAATTGGTGGAATAATCGATCCTAAATGACGTTTGAATTCACAGTCTTGTTTGTTGAGGCGAGAACTGTCCTCACAATGATGCCAATCCCAGAAAGCCCAGTATGGTTTACAAAGCCATTTCCTCTGCCTCATTCCACATAATCCTTATGAAGGCCTTCTCTACCCTGCCTCCGGGAGGAGGGAACTGTTCATGTTACCCAGTTTTTTTTTCACATAAGGACTCCGAGGCTCAGGGATACTTCCCTGTGTTACCTAGTTAGTAAGGGGATGGCATGGGGCTTGGATCTGAGTCCCCTGGCTTCATCTTCTTTCCCTAAACCATGTGGTATGTGGCGTTTTGCAGGAATGTCATAAAGCCTATTGGTTAGTCTGTCCCAACAACAAGGAACCTAGAAAAATGATGGGTCCTCAGGTTGGGTGTCCTGTGTTCCTCCCATGTTACACATGTCACGACATGTGCAGTCCATACCCCCCTGGCAGGGTGCATGGCAGCCACCAAACCTCTCACTGGGAGAAGGAAATCTCTCATCAAATAGCAAAGCCCCCAGAAGCCAGCCCTACCCCCTGGAAGAAATGACTTCAGGGAGTTTAACTAATGGAATTCCAGCCCCCAGATGTGCCTTGAGATATCCAGTCTCCTACCTGGTTTCAGGCGGATAAGTGAAGCTAAGTGGAAGTTGCTCCTAACTCTGGTCTTAGAATTACTATGGATCAACGGAGGCAATGATTAAAGGAATCTGGTTTTTAGAGTTCAGAAAAACTCCTAACTGGTATGAGCCTTCCGGAGGCCAATTGGCCTGGGCCCAGGCCTCAGGCACATGTGGCTATATCATCAGCATGTGATACATTATCTTATTTTTATAGATCTTCAAAGAAACTGCTGCCATAAACTCATTTATTTTAGGGACTCAGGGCGGGTCTAAATGGATCAGTCTCGTTTGGCGTTACCCTCGCTGTCAGCTGTCCCTCCTGCTCCCAACCCTAAGAGTGGTGAAAACAGAGAGAGTTGCCCCCACCCTGGCTCCCTCCTGGGCCTCTCTCTTTTCAGACCACCCAACTGTTGCCCCTGCCCTTTCCTCCCAATTCCTAATTTATAAACCCCAAGTTTTCCACAATTCTCTGCTGAAACTTCTCTAAACTCCTTTAAATGATGGAACCAAAACCACACACAGTGTTCTCATCAGGGTCTGGCCAAAGGTGAGGAGATTTGAGGATTATTTTAAACTATCTCAAAATTTCTATGTGTTATTTATGTCCAACCATGGAATCAATTCAACCTTTATTTAGTGTGGTGTGGGGAACGAGCAGAAGCAGGAGTGGGGAGCCCAGCTCTACTGCTAACAATATGAGTAAGTACATAGATGGGCTCCACTGTGACCTCCAGATCCTTTTCTGTTGGACACACATAACTGGCCCACAGAGACCCCCATCCTCCATTTGTATGTTCTGGGTTCCCCTTAATTGCGCCACTGGAGGCATTACCTAGCCCCATCTGATTGTGTGCTTGCCAGAAACAACCTCTCTGCACCATAATTCCCACCCTGACCCCAAGGAGCCTGTGACCTGGGCTTTACAACCTCCCACATCCTCACCACCGGAGGTGCATTCCTCAGTTGCTTCTGCCCTGCCAGAAGAGGCAAAAAAGCCCGAGTGTGGATTCAACCATTCCAGTCCTCTTGGACCTGTGATGGGGTGGAAAGCATTCCTGACCCCCTGGGGGGTCCTCACCACACTACTGCCTACACCCCTTCACCTACTCCCCATAACTTGCCAGGCACCTGCCTAGAATTTACGGAATAGACTGCGAAAGCCGCTGCTTTCCTGGGGCCAGTTCCGGACCAGGAAAGCTGGTCCAAGAGCTGCAGTGTTGGTTGCCAGCCTCGAGGGAATTCTCAGCATTGCAGGCAGCAGCCCGTTCAGGTAGCAGAGCTCACGCACTGCCGCCCTTGGGGAAGACGAAAGCCTAGCGGAGAACAGCCCTTCTGCCAGCCACCCAGGATGAGATGGGCTCTGATATTCATCTCAGAGGGACCCCAGCCTGTCCCCTACAAGGTGCCGGACACGGGCAACTCCAAGCCCATTCCCTTAACGAAGTAACTGCCCACAGGAGCCCAAAAAGGTGCCCCGGAGATATTCTTTTTCAAAGAACAGAACAATTCCCTCGGCTAGTGCCAGGACTATCTGAATAGATAGTTGGCCCAATAAGCAAGTACTTTCATCGCCCTGTTTCCTACCCTGACGAGGGCGTGTGAGCACGCGCGCGAGCACATACTCGCACAAACACATGCACACACGCACACACGCCCAGCACGCGCTTCCCTGGCCAGGTGCCTCCTCGCCGGCGGCGCGGGGCCCGCGGGGATGCGTCCCGGAGCGTGACACCGACGGATGGACGGCGGGGGAGGGAGCCCGCCCGGAGGGAGCCCGCCCCCCCAGCGCCTCCCGAGCGGCCGCAGCACTGACGCCGGGACCCCGCCGAAGGTGCACCCGGCGCGGCTCGGGCCAGGACGTCCCGGGTTCTCCGCTCACCTTAACGTTGCTGAAGATAGAGCGGGGACAGCGGCCGGCTCGGCCCGCAGAGGCGCCGCTGCCCTGGCGCGCGCCGGGCTCGGGTAGGAGCCCCATGGTGGCTGCAGCGCGGGGCCCGGGGCGGGAGGCCGGGCGAGCGGGGCCGGGACGCCTGGGCTGCGGCGGGCGGCCGGCGAGTGGCGGTTGCGGCGTTGGTGGCCGGAGGAGGCACGCGGCGCGGCCGGAGGAGACTGAGCGCGAGGGTGCGCGCCCAGAAGTTTTATAAGTGGCCGCCGCCGCCACCGCCGATGATGAAACGCGCGCTCCCTCCTCCCTCTTTCCCTCGGGTGTCAAGGGCGCTGCGAGCCCCCGCCCCGCCGCCGCCCCCTCAGACAGGTGTGACGCGGTGGCCGGCTGCGCTTGACCTCGTTCCGGCCGGAGTTGTCTCCGCGCCCGCAGCCCTGCAGGGACCCGCGAGGCTCGACCGCCCCAGGAGAAGGTCCCGCCCGCTGGAGGGTGGGGGCGGGAGGTGGCGGGCCCCGGGAGGGGGAAGTCTGAGGGAGGGGGCGGGAGGCTGCTGAGTGGGGTGGGGGGGGCGCCCGGGGCGCTGACGGGGCAGGGTGAATGCCGCGGGCCCGCAGACTGCAGGGGCCCGGACAAGGGATCGGCAGGGCTGCGGGGGCCGGAGGAGACTGGCGGAGGAGCGAGGGGCGCCGGGGGGGCCAGCGGGAGCCAGGGGCGTCGGAGAGGCGCCGACGCTTGTGAAGGGAAGCGGAGCCTCCGCGCCCCTCCCGACGCGCTCAGGAAGGTTTACGGAGTCGGTTTCTGCTTGTTTGCACTCGTCCAAAACCTGGGCTCTCAGTTCCGGTGATGGCTCTGAGACTTGCCGAGGCTCTGTTTGCGTCCAGGACTGATTTATATTTAAACTGCTCTTTGCGCTGTAGAGGGGCCTGGTAACAAAGGTGGAGAGGTGGGGGCCGCCCCGGGCTGGGCCTGGACTCTCTGGACGGGAGCCAAGGTAAACTGGAGGTGCTGTCGAGTGTCAACATGGCTGTGCCTGGCCTGGAGTGTTGAGGGGAGGCGGGGGAGGTCGTGGACAAATGGGATGCACCCACTGATCTCCTTTTCAGGGCTGGAATAGAACAAACGCTTACTTTTTTTTCCCCAAGATCTTTTCCACCAGGAGAGGTAGTGCAGAAAAGAGAAAGAAGGTGACACTTTCACGAGAAGGGTAAGAAGGGTCTGCCCAAAGCAGCTGCAGTAAGGAATCCAGTTCTGGGGGTATTTTTCTAACTCCCTAATTCCTGTAGTTATCTGCAGAACCAACCTCTTCAAGACCCCACCCTCACATCCTCCTCCTAGCTATTCCTAGGAAAAGATGCCCCTCAACTCCCAGGAAGATTTGGCTAAGACAGGGGCCACAGGACAGATGGACCATGTAGGTTTCTTACTTCTACCCAAGGCCTGATGCCTTTCTGGGCCTGGTCTGGGCTGTCCGATGTCCAGGGGCTTCTCCTTTCTACCTGTGGCCCAGGACCCTGGACACAACAACACACAGTGCTGGAGGAAAAGCCGCTGGACAGTGGGTGGCCTTGGGCCACTTTACTCACCCACAGATCGAGGGGCATCAGCGAGGCTTTCCAGAGCCCTGCAGCAGCCCCAGATCCAGAGTAGGCATGAAACTCTGGTCACCAGTAAGCCGTCTCAGAGAACTTGCAACACAAGAACGGCCTTCCCCACAGAGCACTCAATGTGTGCTGGGCGCTGGGCTGTAGCAGCCATGATGGACTGTGCCAGGCATTCTGCTGGCACCCCCAGGCACGATGCCACAGAACCCCAGCATTAGCCCAACGGTTATCAGCACTGTCACAATCTGGATTTTACGGATGATGATGAGGTCAACCAAAAAGAGTGACTGGAAGTCATACCCCCAGTAAGCGATGCAGCTGGAACCTGAACCCTGCTTTCCTAACTCCAAAGCCCAGACTTGCAGCACTATGCCCTTTGAAAAGCTATCTATCCCAGCAGCCCCATCTCACAAGTGAAACCAAGCAGAGACCAGAGAAGGCCCAGGCCAAGGTCATGGTCACATTAGGGCCACCATGACTGGAGCCTCTTCCTCAAACCTTGAGTGAGTCCTTGCCATGGTCCTCTGACAGAATCCTAGGCAGGGTCGGCCTCTCTAGCCCTCACCTTGTCCTGATCCATTCATCTTGCCTCTGCCCACTGTCAGGACTAGCATCATCTTTAAAGAAAAGGTCTATTCAGAAATGCCCACAGATGGTTATCTGCCATCATCTGCCTTTTCTATGGGGGAGTGCAGCTAAATGTAATGGAGACCCAGCTGAAGTTGGGGCCTCAATGAGATTTATTTGTCTTTCATAAGAAGCCACTAGTAGGTAGTCTAGGGGTCATGACCTAGGTCCCTTCAAGATTCCTTAGTGTGTGACTCCCGTCCTTATGGCTGGCTCATCATCACAAGATGGCTGTTCCACCGCCAGCCTCCTCTCCTAATTCCAGGGAGGAAGTGGAAGACAGAAAACAGGAAGGGGCCGTGAGCACATCAGGGAAGCAAATCTCTCCTGTGCACGCTCAGCTACCTTTCCTTAAGGCTTGTTGGCCCAAACTGGGTCACATGGTCACCCATTAGAAGGCGGCTAAGAATTGTAGTTAATACTCTAGCTGCTTCCTTTCAGCGTCTACACATAGGGTAACCCATTTCCCTCAAAGAACACCCCCAGGGTCTGTTTCTAAGACTCTTCCCAGATCCTTTGATTTCAGCAAATACTTTTTAGCACTAGAAAAACAAAGCACAAAGACAGTTCCTTGTGAACTCTATGAACTCAGGGTGGGCAGTGAGGAGAGGAAGCATCAGTGTGACCTAGGAAAAGAGCTGTTGTGCACATCTGCTGTGGGAACACAGAAGAGGGGTCCTAACTCGTCCTGGGGCAGCAGGGAGGTTTCCTGGAGGAAATGACTTTCAAGCTGAGCCCTAGGGACTGCCAGGATTGGGAGGATTAAGGTGAAGGAAGGTAAATCTGCTCCATGATTTCAGTCTGGCTGGAGCATGAGACCTGGGGACCGTGGGAAGTGTGCGGTGAAGAGGTTGGGACACGAGCGGCATGCAGTGAAGTGTAGGTCTTATCCCCAACATAATGGACAGCCTTTAAAGGCTTCTGAACAGGGGGTGACGTGGGCTGTTCGGCATTTTACATGGGCCTTTCTGGCAGCGGGGTCACAGTGCAGTGGGGCAGTCTAGAAGGCATCTCAGGAGCTCTGCGGGGATGACTCCCAGGGTCTGACTTGGGCAGCCTGCATCAGTGACACCAACTACTGGCAGAGGGGACCAGAAGGGGCAGCAGCAACTGGGGGAATGCGATGCGTCCTCCTAGGTTCCTTTTGAGTTCAGATGGCCTGGAGCACATGCAGGCAAGGCGTCCAGCAGGCAGACTGGTACAGGGGTCCAGTGCTCAGGGCGGACGCTGAGCTAGAGATTGTGGCCTGGACATCCGCATGGAGGCAGTGGGTAAGCCTCAAGAAAGGATGAGTCTCCTGGTGAGAATGTGTTGGAGAAACAGGTCCAGGACCAGCCACAGCAACATCCAGGTCACGCAGGGGATGGAGCCAGCAAAGGAGACAGAGGGGAAGAGTCCAGCATGGAGGGAAGTAAACCCGAGAGTGCATGTCCACATGTTGATATAGCCCCGGGGTAGTGTTTCAAGGAGGAGGAGGTCAGGAGCATGCCTAGGATGGTGAGGAGGGAAGATAAGACCCAAGGATGGCCATCGGGCTGGCTATAGGCTGGCACCGAGGACCTTGGCAAGTATTGCCGGTGAGTGATGTGAGCAGAAGCCAGACTACGTGGGCTGAGGGGGAGCTGGAAGGGAGAAAGTGCCAACGGAGGCCGGCAGAACTTGCCCCAGGAGTGCAGAGGGAAGAAGAAAGATAAAGGAGCTGAGCAGCTTCTCATCTCAGCCCTGAAACCTCCTGCTTTCTCTCCGCTTGAAACTGGAGCAGTTACATGTCCCGCCTCCAGGCTTTTGTTCATGCTGTTCCTCCTGCCCTGCTGACTGCCTCATAGCACTGGGCTTCTACCCTTCAAGGGCAGCTCCTGTTACTGCCTATTCTGGGCCCCCATAAAAACAATAGAACCTGTCACATACAGTATCCCGTGTCGCTCACAAAACTAGAGGTCATTATGCCCATTTCACAGATGAATAAACTGAGGCTTGGGGCTCTTCCCCAACACATACCATGTGTTCCTGCCTTTATTTTCACAGGTTCCAGTGGAGACAATACATGTGTTGCTGAGGGCACAGACCCCAAAGTCAGACATAGATGCCACTACCCTTCACAAGCTGCGTTACCTTAGTTGGCCTGCTTAACCTCTCAGCTTCTCTGTGCCCATCCTGGGGCTGTTATAAGTGTGTGAGGTGGTGCCGAGAGTTCCTGGTGCTGGTGTGGGAGCTGCCGGTGCCTGGTGGTTGGTGGAATTGATGGTGTTCTCTTGCTCCAGATCAGCTGTGAGCTCCTTGAGACAACGGTTCTGTGTTCATTCTCTTTGCATCCCCCATTTGGCCGAGCACATCCCGTTGCTTTAAAATGTTTATTTAATGGAACTGAGCTGAAATGAAGTCCAAAAAGACCCAGTGACTGGGAAAGGCCTCATTGCTCCTGAGGCCTCCAAGCCCTTGCTGTCTCTGTCAACCCCCTACTGCCTGCATTCCGGGCCCCTCCCTTCTGCCCCCTGGAGGCCTCCCTCATCAGCCTTGTCGTCACTGGAGGCTGGCCAGGGGCCCCTCGGTATGTTTATCAGTCCCCGAGCCACACCCAACACTCCTGCAGCCACTAATGGGGGTCTGTTGACAATTTGGACACAACTACGATCTTGCATTAACTCTGCCCACCTAGCTCCTTGTGTGCCAAGTTGGGGGGGGTTGTGGTGAGGGGGGCCCAACGACCACCCCATCACCAAGGTGGAGGGCACCCCTGCAGCCAAGTGCTCCACCACGTTGTCAGTGACACTGGTGGGGAGGCCCGGTCCCCTGTGAGCCGCCCTGGCCACTAGTTTATATTTTTATTGGACAAACATGCAGTGTTGACAGTCCTTGCCCCGTGCTGGCACAATGCTGATTCATTTAATCCTCAAAACAGCCCAATAAGAGGGATTACTTTTATTAGTGCCATTTTATATTTGGAGAAACTGAGGCACTGAGAGGTTAAAATAACTT